CTTCCTAAAGCAGTTGATTGCTTCGAGACATAAGTTAAATTGAAGGATTTAAGATCCTTTTTATGGGCAAGGAAGGTAATGTTGAAAAAGTGAACTATTTTCAAATGAAATGATCCTGACGATCATGTATGAAGAAAATCTAAAGATCATGCATCAAATTGACAATCTAGAAGATTGTTCACTAACTCACTCCCGACAACAATCTTTCTAAAAGTTGTTCGTGAAATTTGACTTCAACGACTCAATAATCTAAAGTGATGTGGTCATGAGGGGGAGCATATACGCACTGCACTCTTTTTCCCTTAGCCATGGTTTTTTCCCAATGGGTTTTCCTGGTAAGGTTTTTAATGAGGCAGTATGATATAGCGTAATGCAATCTAGTGGTCATCCAAGGGGGAGTATTATGTAAATATTGATATATGGATGACAAATGACCTACCACATTAGATGCTCACTTGGGAGTTACATGTAACCCCTATTTCTACATTATTATCTCTCATTCATATGCATTGATATAAGGATGTAGTGGTTACCAAAGTGTGCCTATAAATATAGCACACCATTGTATCAAAAGAAAAGAATGAATAAGAAGAACTCTTCCCCTCTCTTCTCTTGTGTCTTTTCGTCTCTAATATTCTCTTGTAGTTGTTTATATTTTCATTAGTTTCATAACAGTTACTAATTTTAATTAATGATTTCACACAATGAGATTTTGGGCCTTCAACTACATACAATTCCTTCATTTCAATGTTTTAAATTGATATATGGTATTGTCATAAACTAACTGGTCTCAAGAACTCGAATTATTGGGAGAGGTCCATATATGATACTTACTCACTTCCTTACACACCTCCTCAAACGAAAGCCAACTCATGGGCTTGAAGTTTGCACTGGCCCACATATCATATGTGATGAGGCCCAAGGAGGGTCTCAAACTATCCAGCACGCAGCAAAACAAGAATCGTAGTAACAGAGTAAGGACTTTTGCAGATAAAACGAACCAAGCTAGCAACTTCAACACTAAAGGGAAGAGGCTGGTTTGGGTAGAAGAACACTACGAGATCAAGGATGGTTGGATTTGATCTCGAGGTCCGCAAGTCTAGGATCTCAATCCAAGACTTAACTTAAGCACTCGTGCTCAATGGCAACTCCTCGAAGAAATATTGATTCACTAAAACTTAAAATGTGTGCTTACAATTGATGAACAAGCTATTTATAGCCAAGAATAACATAACCTAACCCTAATAGAACAATGAAAACTAATTCAAGTGAAACAAGGAAAGAAAATCGTACAAAACATAAAAACTTGCACGCCAAGTAACTGTCTTCTTCTCTAAGTAAGCTGTCCAGGAAACAGCCTTTGGTACCATCTTTAAGCTCCTGGTTCATAGCCTCTGGGGAAATTCGAGATCGGCCAATTCCTTCCCTTGGTTTAGAAACTTGCCTAGTTTCATATGCAACTCGAAGCACCACTTGGTTACATCCCAAACTCCATGAATCGTGCTCCAAAGTTGGTATCAACAACACTGTTTTTACCTTAGCCAAATTCTGGCATATTTCGGTTTGCATGATAGAGTTTTGAGGGCTTCTAAACACGTTCTTCCTGGCTTCTCCTTGATATCCCAAGTATACCAACATGTAGAGGAACATCCCTTCTTTAAAAAAAGACCTCAAACTCGTATTTCCAATGAGCCAACCGAGAGAACCCTCCCTCCAAAGTAATGTCCCCAACACAGTTTCCATACTTTAGTAATTTTCCAGCTTGGCTTCCTTCAACTTGATCCCACTTTTGATTGATGAATTGGAACTTGTAGGGCTTTGAACTTGAAATCATATCAATGTGCTTAAAACAACGGTTAATATTGGAGGTCATGAGAACTTGAACACGTAACTTCAAGGGCAAACCAGTTCTGATACCATGTCATAAATCAACTGTTCCCAATAACTCTAATTATTGGGAGATGTCCATAAATGATAGTTAAACATTTTCTATAAAATTCCTTATTATTGATAATTGGTTCGGTTATAACCGGAATCGTTTAGTTGGTTATTGGTTAACCGTGAAGCACTTTGTGCTTACCGTTAACTGCACCGTTTAAATTAGTCGGTTAACCGTATAGTCAATTCTCAGTTATTTTGTCGGTTAACCGGATAATCGTTAACCAAATGATTCGGCAAGGTTATACCAAAATAACCAATAAAAGACCTCATTTTTTTCAATTGTGAAAATTTCTATAATTTCTCATACATACACATACACATGTGTTTGTTATCATTGAATAAAAAATAATTGAACATAGATATATATCAATACATAATCAACTCAATCCAACATATGTACACTGTAATACCATTCTACCGTCAAATTTTATAAGCGAAGCATACAATGATAAGAGACCCAACAACAATTACTAAACTCGTAAACCCCACCAAATTACATGGAAGCTTAATGCTGATTGTTGTCGAGCAACTATGCGTAAGTCTGACTTTCTACTGTGCTCCTTCTAAAAAAATTTCCTTAAATTATTTTTATTTGAGTCTATGTCACTATTACAACTAGAATAGGCAAGGGGTCTTGTAAGCCATCAAACAATCCATTATTTTCGACCTAAATTTGACTACAAAATACCGAAGGTTTACTATTTAATCGGTTATCGGTTACACCATTAACGAACCGTTTACCAGCCCTAAAATTGAAATATATTGTTACTGTCTCACTTTGGGCTAAATTGTAAGTTTGGTCACTTGAATTAATAGTAAAGTTCACGTTAGCCAATGTAATTACTTTATTCCATCCGTAGTCACTTAAATTATGTTAACAGCCCAAGTTTAGTCACTGTTGTTACTCTCCGTTAACTTTTGCTAATGTGGCGGTCAACTCTAATAGTTGACCGCGAAATGAGTGACGTGGCAGTTAAATCTTTTTAGAGTTGACAGCTAAATAAGTGACGTGGCCATTAAAAATTTAAAATATAATATAATTATTTTATTTTCCACCTCATTATCATAAATATTAAAAAATAAAACCTAATTATTCACGTGGGCTCATCCTTACCAATTTGCCAAACGATGCATACAGCTATTGGCATAATCACGTGGAGACAACAAGGTTATCTCACATTTAGACGATTATCTCAAGACTTTTTGTCACATTCAATAGATATCGTGTCCCGGAGATGGATCATGATGGAAAATACGACCAACTATGTCATTAGGTGATGACGACGACGTACGAATTGACTTTGTTTCCAAATTGTAAACAAATATTGATTCTAACAGTTAATGAAACTTTCGTACAAATCCATTATGTGGAACTGTCATTTTGATAGAAAACCAGTGTTTCTGTAATAATAACTAAGTTACCTAACCGTGGAATGGGTAGAGAGTTAAAGCTGAAGAGCATTTATTTGGGTCCAACCCACAATAATATTTAGGGTGCGTCTACGGTGACATGCATGTCATGGTGATTTGTACTTTTTGGTCGACATAAGTTAGGATTAGGTCAACTTCATGTAGAATTAGGTCGACCTCATTTAGGATTAGGTCGACCTCATTTAGGATTAGGTCGATCTAATCGGTTGTTTCAGTGTAAAAACAATTTCATGGTGCCTACTTTGGAGATTCATATCTTACAATTGGCTCAATGGAAATTGAAGATTAATGGCTTGTTTTGAATCTGGAGTATCCCTCTACACATTAAAGTGCTTCAAAGCTCGATAGGAAGTCCAGAAGACCATTTTTTAGCTTGATCAAAAGGCTATGCCAAAACTGAAAAACTCGCTGAAAATGACCAAGTCTAGGAACGTGTTTGTGAAGCCAACTTTGGAGCTCAATTCGTGAAGCATGGATGCGAGTCGAGTCCAGGGGCCTCTACCACGTTAAATTAGGTATATTTTTATACAAAGTCAAGTCATTGGATCAAAGATTGGATATCTGTAAGGCTTCAAACAATAGGGTCAAAGTTGCTACGAAGACTGTTTTTCTGGAAGACTTCGAGCACAAGCAAGCTGCCAGAAAAACAGCCTTTGTAGCAACTTCGACCCTTTTGTTTGAAGCCTTACAGATATCCAATCTTTCATCCAATACCTTGAATTTATATAAAAACATACCTAATATAACGTGGTAGAGTCCCCTGGACTCGATTCGCATCCATGCTTCTGGAATTGAGTTCCAAAGTAGGCTTCACAAACACGTTCCCAGACTTGGCCATTTTCAGGCAGCTTCCAAGTTTTGACATAGCCTTTTGATCAGGTTCAAAAATGGTGTTCTGGACTTCTTATTGCTCCCAAGTACTTTAATGTGTAGAGAGGCACTTCAGATTCAAAACAATCTATTGATCTCAAATTTTCATCTAGCCAATTGTAAGATATGAATCTCCAAAGTAGGCACCATGAAACTGTTTTTACACTGAAATAACAGATTAGGTTGACCTAATCCTATATGAGGTCGACCGAAAAGTGCATGTCACCGTGACATGCATGTCACCATAGCAAAGTCCTAATATTTATCATGTAGCTATTCGCCTTAAACCAATTCACAATTTAAATCATTTACGAAAATGAAAAACAAACACTATATAAGGGAACCAACTTGTAAAGACATTCTCAAATCATCATTCTATTTAATCCTCGTCGTTAGATATGACTGCACGTATTCTTTTCAACTTTGTTGCATCTCCACCAATAATAATGTCTTCATCTCTATTAGTGAGACATTGATTAGCATTATCAATTGCATCTTCCTTCTTCTCTTGTATTTCAAGACTTTGCGAAAAATATTTCTTCAATGCATAAAACCACCTTTTGGTCGAACCAATTGTGTTTTATGCAAAATTAACTACTTATCCTTGTGTCTTACTATTTTAAATCTCAAATATTTTTTTGATCATTGTCAGAAACAATATATATTTCTAAGTTAAGATGTTTAATCACTAATTATTGACAGTTTGTTATTTATCCCGCAAGCTTATGTTGAAAATTTTCAGCATATACAATGATTTCTCAATTATCTTATGTTTACTCATTCATAATGTGAAGGTTTATAAACTCTTGATGAAAAACATTATGCCTCGATTTTCAACCACAATACTCAAATTTATTATCTTATACAAGATATGTTAGCTTATTATTCTCAAAATTAGGAATAACTCTCAATCATTGCTTATTGACCTTTCAGTGTATCATTGTATTTCAGTATATCATTGTATTTCTCCACCTCCACCCCCGCCTTCTCCCTCCTTTGGCGAGATCGACAGACAAAGAGCGATTTTGGGTTCGACGGCGGGGTGATGATGACTAACGAGCGAATCGATGAAAGATCTGGGAAGCTCCCCGTTGTTCTTCTTCCTCCTTGGCTCAGCGGCAAGGCTGGAATGCCCCTTTGTGTTCTCCTTCACGTTTGGGCTCGGCGGCAGAGGTCGGAGCAGAGGCGGAAGTTGTTGGGTCTGGAGATGGGAAGAGGAAATCCCTACGATGACGTTCATCTGAAGCTTATGAAAAATCAAACGCACCATTGGACAAGGGGAGAAGGACGAAGAAGCAGCAGTAGAGGGGAGAACAAAAATCTGGGTTCAAAACACTGTTTTCCCTTTGACAGAGGAGGCAATTGAGGAAGGTGAAAAGGCGGAGAGCCAAAAACTATATTAAAATTTTGAAATTAAAACTAATATTTGATGAATTTCTGAGGTGGATGATGATAAAGATGCTGAGTTGGAGCTCCGTTAGTGAATAATTAATGGTAACAAAATGAAAGTTCAGACTTTGATCAATTATAATACGTTTGATTAATAAATAGTACTCAAATAAGTTTGAATAAAATAAAAAATTTGTAAAAGATTTGGATAATACATAAACATTATCATAAGAAAATGTAATACCTCTAAAGCAGATGAAAATTGTGTTGGGGAGTAGCAGGTGCAATGGAAAGTGAAGAAAGAAGAGAGAACTGGAATGGAAAAGGTTAGTTGATGATGCTTAGTAGGTGTGCTGTCAGTCTCATGTCCAAAGTCACCATAATAGCTAATAAGTTTTGAAATTGGAATACAATTAGAATATTTATTTTCTAATTAGATATTAAATAATTAATGATAGTTTTTATATAAAAACATATGTTATGTGGTCAGTTGATGCTTTAATGGGAAAGGTTAATTGAAGAGAGAAGAGCGAAGGTTGTTAAAAAAAAAATGGAGGGAGAACTAGAATGGGAGAGGTTAGTTTATGCTTAGTGGGTGTGCTGTCAATCTCATGTCCAAAGTCATCATAATAGCTAATAAGTATTGGAAATTGGAATACAATTACAATAATTATTTTCTAATTAGATATTAAATAATTAATGATAATTTTTATATAAAAAACATATGGTATGTGGTCTACAAATTTCATAATTTTTAATAAATACGTACATAATTTTAGTGATACAATTTATATGATTTTGATGCTATGATTAGTTATGACTTATGATAACAATGATGATATTTTATTACACGGGGTTAATATAATACACTTTCTACTATAATATATTAAATAATAGTGCTTTTGTCAATGCCAAATTTAGGCGGAAGGTATGGGGAGCAGATGGGGTGAGTAACTGATGGGTGAGTAACCCATAAGTAACCCCCTCCTCTCCCCACGTGTCAGTTATTTTTTTATTTAAATTAAATGCTAAAGGGCAGTAAGGTAAAATGCACTTATCCCCTATTCATTGCTGACGCGCTGATTTTTGACCGACCACATCAGGACCTCCTTCTCTCTCCTCGAAAAACCTTTAATTTTCCTTCTCTTAATCTTTAACGGACGATTTCTCACTCGTTTTAAGTCAAAATTTAATTTTTTTTGCACAGTTAGATCAGATTAATTATGCTCTTCATAATGATATCCACTTTGATATTTTTCTGACACAAAATTTTTTTCCAGTTATTACCAGTCTATACCATATGGTATCGACTATACCATATTGTATTGAGTGGTATTAAATAAGAGCATACAATATGGTATGAATTTGCCACATCAATATATATCTCGTTACCACCCAATACCATATGGTATAGTGTGGTAATATCATTATATATTTCGTTACCACACAATACCATATGGTATAGTGTGGTAAAATCAATATATATTTCGTTACCACCCAATACCATATGGTATAGTGTGGTAATATCAATATATATTTCGTTACCACCCAATACCATATGGTATAGTGTGGTATATCAATATATATTTCGTTTCCACTCAATACCATATAGTATAGTGTGGTAATACCAATATATATTTCGTTACCACCCAATACCATATGGTATAGTATGGTATATCAATATATATTGCCTAAAAGAAAAAAAAAACAGAAGGAGGGAGAAACAAAACTCGTCTTCTATCTCCTCTTATTTTCTCCTCTAAAATCAAGAACACCAAAATGCCAAAAAATGAGAAAAATCCGAATTGAGGCCAACGATTTGATGAAGAGAAAAAATGCAATGAAAGAGGGTGGGTGCAATTTTTCTTCGTCGATTGCTAAAAAAAAAGAATAATAGAAGGGAGCAAATCTAGATCAGGAGAAGAAGATTGGGAGAGAGAAAGGAAGAGAGAAAGAGAAAGAAGAGTTGCAGAGAAAAGATCATTTCTCTCTCCTTCATTGAAAAGCCAACTATTAAATGTTTGATAAATTAAAAAAAATTCAAAAATGGACAAAAATACCCCTCCCCTTCCCCCGCGTCCGCCCAACCGCATGATGAGCTGGGCTCCTAGATCTGCGGCTCAGATTAATTACTGACTGTATCTTGGACCGAAGGTATGGGCTTTGGAGAAATTTTACAATGCTATATAGTATTGGTGCTATAGGGTTTTGCCTTTATGGTACAACTTAGAATTGTACATTTACGTTATGGTACAACTTCAGATTGTATCTATACTTTTTGTACAAATTCTTTTATGGTACAACTTGAACTTGTACCTTTATGTGATGTACAACTTCAAGTTATAAAGTTGTATCATAACCTAATGGTACAAATTGCTTTATGGTACAACTTAAACTTATACATTTTTTGTATCGAAATCTGTAGCAATTTTATTAATGGGCCTGCGCGAGCTTCAAAACAAACCACCACGGATGAGTTCCGCCATAGTCTCGACGTCCAACTGCAGTCTCCAAATCGATGGGCCTGCGTCTCTCGCAAATCACAGAAGGGCCATTTATCTGTCCACCTTTCACTTTTCACACTCACATGGTCACCCGTCGGGAGTACGTTACGCATGAAACGCCATAGGAAATGCTTTACCTTTGGTGGGATTTTTAAAGACCACATCCTCTTCCATACTTCTGCCTCACCCGTCGCATGCAGATCATGTATTGTCAGATAAGCTTCAAGCCATCTTTTGTATCCTTCCTTCACAATGAAGTCTCCGGAGCTGCTAAAGTGCCATATAGTTGTGTCCCTCTCCTGCCCATTCCTCAAAGGAATTTGTTGAATAAGCTCCGCTACTTCCATCGGGAAACAACCACTCACTACGTCTCGATCCCACCCTCCATTGCTAGGATCGATTAGCTCTCTAACATAGGAATCCACTGGCAAACCCATGGAGGTGAAGGTACAAACCAGCCCTGCTCCATTGGAATCCACTTATCCCCCCAGATCCTCACCTCCGTTCCATTTCCGATTCTCCATCGTAACCCACTGTGAAAGAAATCTTGTGCACTCGTGATTGATCGCCAAATGAAGCTTGGGTTATGACCACACACCGCCTCCAGAACACTCTCCTTCTTATGGTACTTGGCTTTCATTATACGGGCAGCTAGCGAAGTCGGCCGTTTATGAAGCCTCCAAAGCTGTTTTGCAAGAAGCGCTGTATTAAATCCGCGCAAGTCCCTGAAACCAAGTCCTCCCTCCTCCTTCGGTAAGACTAGTTCTTCATTTTTCACCCAATGAGCCCGTCTCTCCGAACCTCTTTGGTCCCACCAAAAGTTCAGCATCAGATTGTTGATTTCCTCTATTATGCCCTCCGGGATTCGAAAAACCGACATCACATAAGTTAGTTGCGCTTGTGCCACCGATTTGATCATCACTTCCCTTGCTGCGGCAGACATTGTTTTTTCTTTCCACCCCTTGAGCTTCTTCCAAATTCTGTCTTTCAACTCAACAAATAGTTCTTTCTTTGATCTTCCCGCTTCTGTGGCGAGCCCCAGATATTTGTCGTGCATTTCCACAGTTTTCATCCCAAGGACTCCGCCCACTAGCAACCTTCCGTGGGGTTTGATATTCTTGCTGAACGATACTTCCGATTTCTGGAAATTAACAAGTTGACCTGACTCCGGCTCATAGTCATGTAAGATCCTCTTCAGCTGCAAGCTCTCTTGGGTAGTGGCCCTGAAAAAGAAAATACTATCGTCAGCGAAAAACATGTGGGACACCACGGGGGCACCCCTAGCCGGCTGGAGACCATGGATTCTTCCTTCCGCCACCTCTTTGTCCGTGTATGAGGACAGGCCCTCCGCACATAGCAGGAAAAGGTATGGCGACAAAGGGTCCCCCTGTCGTAAGCCTCTCTCCGGTAAGAACGCCTCCGACAGATGCCGGTTAACCAGCACCAAGTACTCCACCGACTTTACGCACATCATCATCAGCGAGATCCAACGGGTCTCAAACTCCATTTTGCCCATTATACCCTCAAGGAATCTCCACTCAACTCTATCGTAGGCCTTCGCCATATCAATCTTTGCTGCCGCAAAGCCCTTTCTCCTCTCTTTCTTTCGTTTCATGGAATGGAAACACTCAAAGGCCGCCATAATGTTATTAGTGATAATACGCCCAGGCACAAAAGTACTTTGAGCACATCCAATCACTTTGTCTAGCACTTCTTTGAGTCGGTTTGCCAAAACCTTAGACACCAGTTTGTATAACACATTGCATAAGCTAATAGGGCGGAACTCCATAGGTGTCGTAGGATTCTTAACCTTCGGGATAAGGGCGATCAAGGTCTGATTCAGACCCGCTGGCATCCACCCCTCCTCAATGATACGGTGATGCAGGCTGTGACATCATCACCTATAACTCCCCAAAATCTCTTAAAGAAAAGGGCTGAAAAGCCGTCAGCTCCAGGAGCTTTCCGAGCTCCCATTTGCTTCAATGCTGTGGTTATTTCCTCCCTAGCAACTGGTCTCAGCAGGTTTGAATTATCCTGATCGTCCATCCTCTTATCAATCGAGTCCATAACCGGGGTGGGTGAAGGGGACGGTGATGCCTTAAACAGGCTGCAGAAGTAATCCACTATACACCCTGAGACTGCTTCTGTCCCAAAATACCATTGTCCCGCAGAGCTCTTAATTCGCCTGATCATGTTCCGTCTCCTGCGTGTCGTGGCCTTCTTGTGGAAAAAACTAGTGTTTTTGTCAACATGTTTCAGCCAGTCCACCCTACTCCTTTGCCGCCAGTATTCTTCTTCATTTGCCTCTAGTTCATCCATTTCCGCCTCGAGCTGTTTACGTTGTTCCAACCTCTCGGTCGTTTTTGGGGCACGCTCGATAGTTCGCAAGGCCCGTTTAATCTTTTCCCGCTGCTTCCTGAAGTTTGGGTAAGCCTGTCGGCTCCATCCCTCCAGCCTATCCCGGCATCGAGTTAGCCTCTCCATAATCCCACTAGAGTCTCCCTCACTCCAAGCATTTGTAATCACTCCAGTACACTCCTCATGCTTTATCCACATCGGGTCAAAATGAAAGGACCATCTCCAGCATGGCTCTTCGTCCTCGGCCCTGAGCGTATCACACACTAGTGGGCGATGATCAGATCTCATTTTATCTAGATGAAGCACACGAGCTTGGGGATATAATGTTCTCCAATTTCCTGTACCAACAAAACGGTCTAGTCTCTCTTCAATAAAACCTCCATGTCTCCTTGAGTTGTCCCATGTGTATGGATAGCCTTGAAACCCCATATCCTGAAGCCCCGCGTACCATAAGCATTCATTAAACTCATTCATAGTCGGCTCCGCAGTCAGGTTACCTCCCTTCTTTTCATCTGCTGATTGGACTTGGTTGAAGTCTCCTCCGCATAGCCAAGGTCCATCCCATTGATCTGACAATTGCCGAATCATATCCCATGTTTGCCACTTATCCCTTCCTTCCGGCCATCCGTAAATACCAGTGAACCGCCACACACCTACATTCTCATCTGTAATCTTCACATCTATAAGATTTTGCGTAATGGACATCACCTCTAGCTGGATACCATCCTTCCACCATATACTTAGACCACCTGCCCGATTTCTAGGCGATACAACGGCGGAGTAACTATCACCCTCCTCAAAGCCGAGTTCCTTCTGTAGCACCTTGTTTTCTTCCTTTGTTTGTTTGGTCTCCATAAGAAAGACCACTTGCGGGGAAACCTGCTGCAAAAGCGACTTCATAGCTCGAACTGCCCGTGTGTTCCCCAAACCACGGCTGTTGTAGCTGAGGAGCCTCATTTATGGCCTGGAGGGGATAGGTTCCCCGCACCATTCAGTTGCTGATCCACATTTTTATTCCGAGCATTGTGTCCCCCACTGCCTCTTCCTTCCCTGCTGGTCTCAACTCCCCCTCCTTTCTTCCCACCATCTCCTCCTTTCCTACTAGTACCCGACCCCATTATCCGAGTTCCCTACTGTGTTTCTTTTTGTTTCCCCGTACTCTTATTTTGCTTCTGTGTACCTTCTTCTGTGGGCTCCTTCTCAGTTTTGTGCCCTTGCTTGGACATTCTCGATAGATCGTTATTTCCCTTGCCCCGTAGTACGGTTTTACCAGGTTTGTCCCTTGATATTTCTTCTTCCCTTTCCTCAGCTACTTCTTCCGCTAGAACATCAAAGCTATTATGCACCTTCTCCCGATTCGGGGCCTGCTGCCCAATATTGCTCGGCCTTAAAGCTGGTCTTCTCCCTCTCCGTTTCGCTATCATCCAGTCTCCATATAGCGGTTGCTCGGCCTCTTTTTTGTTTGTGTCATCATTCATTTCGTCGCCTTCTCCCGGAGATGGATCAAAAGTGGTCTCGGGTGGATTTTTGCATGGGCATGCATGGGTCTGTTGCCCATATCTTCCACAATCAAAACAGACATTAAATAATCCTTCATAAGTTATAAAGTATTCCTTTCCTTCAATCTTGTACTTCGATAGCAATGGTTTGGTGAGATCAACCTCGACAAAGACTCTTGCATACTTCATTCGTGCTCCCTCTAAAGTTGCCCGATCGACTCGAACCGGTTTCCCAATTAACCCTGCTATCCTCATCACTGCCACCTGGTTAAAAAAACTCCGGTGGAACGCATGGGAGCTGCACCCACACCATAGTAGATTTTGTCACCGCGGTCCATGGATCAAAACCACGATACCACCGGTGTACCGGGAGGTACGTGTCACCAAGGGTCCATGGTCCTCCTGAAATTGCGGCCTCGTAATCCTCTTTTTTCCGGAACCTAATCAAGTAGCATCCATTTTGCATGTCGGAGATCTGGAGCCCTCCATGTTTTGCCCACAGCTGATGAAGGCGCGGTGAGAGTAGGTTAAAGGGGACATTGCGCCCCAGGCCTCTAACAACCAGGGCGGATCTCCAGTCTCGTCGAAACGAGCGTTTTTCAGCCGCCGAGAACAGCACCGTTGGACATGTTGGATCATATTCCCCTTCAGAAGCATAGTCATCTTCTTCCCTCTCAGCCTCCGCTACTTCCTCCGAATCCGAATCAGCTACGTATCATCCCTCCACGTCCTTATTCTCATCCATGAAAAGCCTTCTTCCGCTCATCCATGCTCACCCAGGTATCCCAGCCTCGGGCATCGGGGTGTCACTAGGTGAGTTTAAGTTTTGGTGCAGAGTACTCGTCCCGTCTTCCCCAACCGCTTTCGCTTTCTTCTTCTGGTGCTGCGCTTCTCGATCTCCTTTTCCATTCGGGGAGGATGTTGTTGTTGGTGGCCGGCGGCTCCCAGTCAGAGCGTCTGGCGGTTTCGGAGCCGGTGAGAGCTTCGTGTTCGGCCCCGCCGCCGACATCGCGCACAGAAAACCCTTGCCTGGTCTCAAACTCGCTTCCTAAAATTCTGGAGCTTTTTTTACCAGTTCTTCGTTAATCAAAACTACTTGCCTCACCCCGTTTCACTTGTTCCGTCTGACCTCAATCCTAAAACTTATACATTTAATGTTATGATACAACTTTAAGTTGTACATTAAAGTACCAATACTATATAGCATAGTAGAAGTACTCATGGGCTCTGTAGTTCGTTCAAATTTGAAATATATATAAAATTATATATAAATTTTGTAACAAATTAAGAAAATATAGTAGTAGGTAAGATTTAAGCCTCATCGCCAATTAACATATGGTTCAAATGAGACCTCCTTATTCATATTTCTGACTCTAATACTAGCTGTATAACAACAATCACCATTTCAATTTTTAAAGAATAGGTGCTCTCGTACTCTCGCTCTTGTTGTCACTTGCGCTCCCTCTGTACAAGCTAGTTACCTAAGTATTGACACATTTATTACCTAAGTATTGACACATTTATTAGAAGCACATAGTTTATTGAAAGGTGTGTTTGTAAAAACGTCATAGATATATAGAGCTAGATGCATCATTAAACATTTTTTATTTTGAAAAACCGATCTACAATACATGACATCTATGCTTTCATAACCAGACAGGATGTCGAACCGAAAAAGTTAGTGATTTAAGGTTCAGTGATTAACCGTTGTAAAATCGTTGGTTGACCATTGATAGAATCGTTCATGATACATAACATAAAAGACTCGTATAATACACTAATTTAATAATGAAGTTATCATTACAAAAATTCAAATTCATATCACCAGCAAAATATCTTACAAATCCGTCAAACCGCCTCACAAAAGAAATCATAAATTTTTAATTCAAATAAAAAATTATGGTGTCAGTCGTTAGTGGACCACGTAAAATTGACAACTAGGTTGGAAAATGAGAAGAGTAAGCATAAATAAAATTAATAATTGTGGTTTGAAGGTCGTAGTTTACAATAAAAGTATATATATTTTTTTAATTTTGTGGTTAAAGTGGTGAACAAATGGACCAGTTAAACCATGGTGGCTCATCTGGTTTTTGTTGAACCGTGAAAAATCGTTTGGTCCATTAATAATCGTCCAAACAATAAACTATACCACGTGGCTTAGCAATTCTACTGACCCAACCATTGATCCGTTTCTGTTCTTATAACCAGCATATACATGTTCACACCCAGCCAAGCAAAACGTGCCAATAGTGAAATGAGTTAGTAAGCTAAACCAAAACGCCTATATGTATATCTGAATACAAGGCCAATCATAACCAAATGATCTTTGGCTTTGTTTAATAATAAGTTTAGAGAGAGAGAGAGAGAGCGAGAGAGGTAGCCATGGCGATGAAGGGAAAGCTGGAGAGTGTGATGGAAGTGAAAGCATCAGCTGACAAAGTTTACGGGGTGTTCAGGAAAACATCACACCACATCCCCAACCACACAGCAAAGAACATCCATAAAGTTGAAGTCCATGAAGGAGATTGGGAGACTCATGGGTCAATCAAGTACTGGAATTATACTCTTGGTAATGAATCAATTTCCCACTACGTATCTAGCTAGTTGCTCTTTCATTCAACTCTAATGATGTCTTACTACTTACCGTTTTTCTTTACTAACCCCATCGATCGAGTCTATCGAGGTTTAAATCGATCCATTTGATCAATAACTAACTTGTTAAATTGAGTCATTGTTTATTGAAGTCAAACCCAACTCTATCTCAGTAAACTATATATTTTATGAAAAATTTGAATTATAAAAAAAAAATCGGTACTTTGTCTCAATAACTCGAGAATGAATGACCCACTATGCTCAGATGGGAAGCCGGAAGTTTTGAAGGAGAGGATGTTGTTCGATGACGAGAAGAAGCTGGTGACCGTAATCGGGGTGGACGGAGACCCGTTGAAGTTATACAAAGTGTACATAGGCAAGTTTGAGATGAAGCCAAAAGATGACGGCGCTGGCTGCTTTGTGACCATCACGGTGGAGTATGAGAAACTCAACCCTGCCTCCCCGCCTGCCTACAAATACCTGGATTTCCTGGAAAGCGTTGTCCAGGATCTCGGTGAAGCTCTCGCCTAATCATTGATCATCACCACCAATACAAACAAATGAGACCCCATAATACATCTCATTTGCCATATATCTAGTTTATGTGTAATCCAAATAAAGAAGAGTGTGTTTAAAGTCATATTCGATGAAATGGGTTTGTAATATTCGGGTTGTTAAGTGTTATGATCATCATCGACCCTTTGTATTTTAAATAATGAGGGTTCTGACTTTGCTGAGCTTTCAAAGAGATCCGTTGAAAAGTTGTATGATCAATGCTTCTTATGGTATGAAGATATGTATTCATAATATCTATTAAAATTTACGAAAATAGTTGTTAGCATGCCTTGAATAGCTATTGTGAGTTTTGTTCATTTGTAATTCGTATTATGCTATCGGCCTTGGGTTTATCTATATATACCATTTCAAATAAACTTGGGTAATTACTATTTATTAGTCAAATATTTATCTAATTCTTTTTTATTAGTCAAACCTATCAAAATACTAAAAATCAGCCAAATGTTAATTTTTAGTTAGCAACTTTGTTAGTAATATTGATTTGGCAACATAAGATTGACTTGGAAGAGACACATGAAGGACGACATTCCAAAATTTTATAAGTATTTTAACCATGGTTAAAATATGCGGGCCTAGGCACTCGCCAAACCTCGCCTAGGCCCAAGTGAGAAGGAAAACGCCTTGCCTTGGCAAAAAGTAGTGGAGAAGGCGTCAAGATCATGTTGCGGCCTTAGTGGCGCCTGGTCAACATTGAGTTGTGCCTCAAAATTATGCCACAGTGTCTTTTTTCTACCTTTTGATACGCTACTAGTGGGGACGACCTTGATTTCTCTATAGTTAGGCTAAAATATAGTTAGAGACTACCATCTTTAGAATAGCTTCTTCTTTTTTTTTCTTGTGCTTTTCGCTCTCAATATCTTTGTCTATTGTCAAGCTTCTTCTTCCTTTCTTATTTCTCCACGCTATGTTTTGTGTTTCACCATGTGTTGTTGATGAAAGTTTAGAAATGGAGGTAAATGCGATGATATTGGTTCAATAACTTGTGATTCTAGACAAGTGTGAGATATTTTCTTAAGCTTTCTCGAACCTTGATTTTAACTATGAAAATAGTTACAAAATTATTAATGATAACGTTAAAATGGTAATATTTTGATGCATTATGAAAATTTTGGTTAATTAATAATAAAAAAGAATCTGAAAAAGATTTGGATAATAAATAGACATTACCCAATAAACTTTTACCAAGTAATAACAAGAGAGAAAAGTTAGAAAAAAAAACTCTACTAAAAAATCCACCCAAAGCAACATCGTAGTGAAACCACCCTATAAAATTGAAGGAAGCCAAGCTAATGAGGATAACAACAGGGTTTTACATGCCACTCTATGAGAGCTCAGTTGGGAAATGTGCAAAACTACCCTTGAAATTATACAATGAGGAAAACACACCGACTTCTTTTTGTAGCTGTCAAGTCATAACCCTGTTAATTCAGGACCTCGAAAATTTGACTCATTTCCGGGGGAGTTTTGGTCAACATATTTCCTTGGCATATAGAATCAATCACTTGTCGGTATTCGAGAAAGAGGGCCCAATAGAAATTGCCCACCTTCAAGGGATCTCTGAATCCGTGATAGGGGGCATTTCAGTAAGAGATCTGAGTATCTCTCTCATGCATTTTTGAGGGTCTTGTCATCCTCATGCTCAAAGTGATGGGAGCATATTTCCTTTTTGCAAATCCACTGTCTTGGATGGGGGATGGTAGCGTTCAGGAATTTGTTCACCAAATCAGCCCACGATATGATCGACCCTGGTGGACGGTTCTCCAACTGCGCCTTAGCCCTTCCATGCAGAGAGAATGGGAAGTAGTGAAGCTGGATCGCTTCAGGAGGTACACCGTTGGTTTTGAGCCCGTCAATCAGCCCGTGGAACCAGTTCAGGTGCTCTCATTGGCACCCTCCTTCTAGTCCATTGAACACTACTGAGGTCTTCAGTATCTAAATAACAAAATTCTTCACCTCAAAGTTGTTTAAGCAACTTGAGCATGCTAGATACTAAACCTCAAGTCCTCGGCCCTGGGGTTCAAGTAGTACCCCATAGTCCGAGCATCTGCCTATGGTTTGGCCCCATTAATATTCCCCGCTTTATTAATGGGATCCCCCATCATCTCTTTTGTATCAATCTCCGCGTCACCCTCAGGTTCTTCTGCAATGACAACCTGGTCTTGGTCTTCCTCCGCAGCTAGTGTCTCCTTCAACGCTTTCTTGAACTGGCAAAGAGTCCTTTGAAGCTCCTAATCCAAAGGCAGTAAATCATCAGTTTGGCGACGAGTCATGCACTTCCGGCACACATCTAGAAATAGATGTTGTGAAGGTAAACAGGTGGAAGAAAGAAAATACAAGAAAGTAAATGCTAAATAACGACATATTTCTCTGCAAACCTAGTCGTCCCCGGGAACAGCGCCAAATACTTGATTCATTATAACACAACACTCCTCACATTGGCCAAGTATAACCACTACGAGGGACTGCAGTAAAGTGGGTTCGGTTTAGATTACCAACCTGGGTCCTATATGTACTGCCTACTTCTTGAATGTTCTAACTGTCGATTGTGGTGAAATTGTTGAAAACTAAGAAGCAGAGACAGCAAGTAAATTGTTCGGTTTTCAAATTCAAGAAGGGTCACTCAGGTATGTGTCCCTCCTAACTCCTCAACCAGGTATGAGTTGTAATTCCCTTTAGTTTTTTTTTACCGATGATCAAACCACGAAAGATCCTGTAATTGCTTGGAATCTCTAAAGTCGACCAAGCCCTCTTAGACACAACACCCGACAGGCAACTAACCTCCACCAGATTAAAATTCTAAGGCGATAAAAGAAGATCTTTTCTACTGGAATGAATTCCAATACAAAGTAATGAATCGATCGATCGATTCACTACTTACAAGCAAAGAAGCTCTATTAACCCAATAAGATTCTATATATCCTAAGTTAAAGCAAAAATCAAGAGAATGTGATGAAGATTCAAATCACTCAATTACTCATACTTCAATTGAATATAATCAATTGTTTTACATCCAAATGTTCATACGACAGTGATCCTAACATATGGAACTAGGGTTCTACACACCCAAGTGTAGAGGAGGTTTACTCCATAGAGAGAGAAGAAAACACAGACGAAGTGGTCATACTCATAAGGATGTGTATAGTCAGCTCTGGGATGTCAATCAGCTCTCGGAGGGGCGAAGTCCAAGCCTCAATTGTCGAATCTTAGCTCAAATAAGCTCCAAGTACTTGTTCTTCGCCACTTTATCTCTCTAGGGCTCTCTTATGTGTTTCTTGAGGTGAAAATCGAATATGGAGTCCATTGCCCCAGTATGCCTTTTGTTTCCCTGAATTTTTGCAAGTTTGAAGGTGGATTTGGTGATTGGACATTTAGGTTTTTTAAATAAAATTGAAAGTTAGAGAGAAAGGAGATGGTTTTTAGCTACAGAGAAGGGAAAAGTGAAAAATCATGTTGAGTGAGGTGTGTTGGCCGAATTTTGGCCTTTATAAGGAGAGGGGGGAGTGGCACTGCCGCGACGTTGGGGACCGATGTGGTCTCCTCTCGGGTTCTTCTTTGGATAACAACATTTTTACATTAGAATACTTCCCTTATTAGTACGAAAGTTGGTTTTGTAATATTTTCACATCTTAAAATCCTTCATTCTCGTCATAAGATTGAAAATTTTCTCTAAATGTAACAAATTACCAAAGGATACAATATTTTCCTCCAATGAGTAACTAAAAACTTGAAGCCAAAATAAAAATTTTGAAATAAAAATTAAAAATACGAAAGAGACATTTGGGTTGTCTCCGATTATCACTTTAAGTTAATGTCATTAAGTTTGACGCCAGACATGGTTACTTCCCATGGACAGCTCTCTCTTTTATGCCTTTGAGCTAGGGTTGTCTAGATTCCTTTTAGTTGATATCTTGACCAGATCTCACTTCTTCTTCCTCTCCCCATCCCGGTGAAAGGATATGATCGTAGTTGAATCATTTGGGTCGATGTTGATTGATGAACTCTTGGTACTCCTTTGTTGCTTCATATTGTAGTTACTAGATCTTTTAAGCATCGTCTTTCCTTTGTATTGGCTATCCTTAATTCCTTTTGAGCTTCTTTGAGACCGAGAATTGGCAGAACCTTGTTCTACTCCTCTCCATACTTTGGGTCTAGATCATGGTGATGAACTATTATGTTTTCTAGATTCTCAAGACGAGAGCCAAATCAAAATTTTACTTCATCGTCTAAATACGTCCATGGATACTCCTCATGTTCATCACCTCTCTTTATTGGCCTTTCTACCCTGTGTAGAAGCTTTCCCACGTCTAAGTTACTTCTCCATTGACAACATGAATCATTGCTCCAATAGTGGGAAGGAATGGCCTTCCGGAGAGGGTTGAATACTCATTATTTATCTCCATTTCGATCACGAGGTACTCGGGGATGTAAATGAATGAACCACTTGGGTGCTTAGGCCTCGAATAATCCCAAGAGCTTTACAAGGGGTGTTATTGGCTAGCATGATCTTAAAGTTGGCATACTACATGCGGTATAGTCCCATTTCTTCATTTTTATGAATGGGTAGTATGTTGACAATTGAGCCAAGTTCAACTAAAACTTTTTCTACGTGATGATCATCCATGAGACATGTGATGATATGCCCAGGATCTTTCTTTACTTAATTCAAAACCCCAAGGGTTTTTCTTGATAGTGGTTGCTTTTTCTTCAACCCTGTCATCTTCTTCCATGAAGATCTTCATATTTCCTTTGAGATGCTTCGTTGAGATCATCTTCTCCGTAATTGGTACTGCCAGTTTGCCACTTCTGCTCCTCCAAAAGCTTTCTTCTTTCTTTTCTCATCCTAGTTGAGATGACCTTTACTTGCTCCTTCGTTAGATTGTTTTCTGTGTTTCTTGGGAGGTTTCTTTGAGGCTTTTGAGGTATACCATCAATTAGAAGTGCAAGTTTTCTTTCAATATTATTATAGCTCATTTGCAATCCTATCATAGTTGCCTCTAGCTTCTCGAATCTGGTGGGTTGCCAATTGGAGACACCTTCTCCTTGCTCCTTGTATTGAGGTTGATTGCCAAATCCAGGTGGACTTTGTTTATTTTGCCATTGTGCTTCATGAACATAGGGTGCATTGGTAGAGGATATATTGGGGTAATCATCAGGCTTCTTCCCCCCAAAAGTAGGCCGTTCACCATATGGTATCCGAGGTTGGTTGAATATTTTGATAAAGAGAATAGCTATCTTATTGATGTCTCGATTGATAGC